GACCAGCAGCTTCAGCATCACTTGGGAGCTTGTAAGAAAGGAGAATCTCAGCCCACCCAGGCCTGTTGAATCCAACTCTGCTTTTTATCAAGATCCCCAGGGGATCTGTAAGCACTTTAAGGAGTGAAAATTTCCGGTCCATTCTCTTCCCATCTACCAGTTGAATGTTCAGGATTTTGAGAACCTAGGGGAGGACAGAGCCACAATAAATAGAGCCAGGTTCCCTGAATGACGATGACCACACAGAAGGCCCCCACCAATTAGGAACATTCATTTTGGATATTAGAAGAAATAAACTATTATTGGGTTATTAAGCCATTGAAATTTTGAAATTATTCCCACAGCTAACATTATCATTATTATTTTGGCACCCTTGTAGGGCCCCGATTTCCTGCAAGTCCCTGTATCTGAGGGGATAAGATGCCTATGAAGCAAAGTTGCAAGACACTCTAAACAGGAACATCACCAAGAGCAGTAACCCTGGGTGGTAACTTGGAAGGACATTTGAAATAGAGGGAACAGTGTGTGCAAAGGCACAGAGGCAGGAAGCCACAGCACCCAGTAACACAAGTGGAATGTCAGGGGAGGAGGGATCTGGCCGTTCATTGACCCCTCCACATCTAGCCCAACCTGACAGATCTGGCCACATCCTCCAGAAAGAAAGGAAACCATAGCTCTGAGCTGAGCACAGGCCTGCCTTCTAGAGATTGTTCAGGAGTGAAAACCCTCATGTATCAACAGCTCAGTGGGGCCCTCTTTGATCAACAGGTTGGCATAATTAATATCTTCCCGGAGCTGTCAGTTTCCTGGAAATCAAAAATGAGCTGGTCATTATGCCGAGATCAGTCAGAAACAAGAAAGACTGTAAATACATTCTTTTCCCTTCTCTCAAAAAAAAAAAAAAAAATCCACTAACGTGATAAGGAACATAAAACAGCATTAGTTTCTTCATAGTTATTATACACAGCACCGAAAATTGTGGAATTAAACCAGGAAGTACTCTCTGGCTGGCCATAAATTTTGCATTTTTCCCCTTCGTGCATAATCATGTCTTGATAAGCGCCCCATTA